GTAAAGTAAAAAAAAAAAAACATATATTTGAAATGTAATTATTTATTTTATTTCATTTAAATATTTATATAATTATTTGTATAATTTTATAAGAAAATAAATAAATATTCATTAAATATATTTATAAATCATGACAGAATTTTTTTTTTTTGTAAAATATTCCTTTAAAATATAAACATTTTCATGTATTTGATAGTTGAATGAGTGACATGGAGGTTGGATTTATCAAATCCATGTTAATTATCAATTATTGTTCATGATTTACATTTATTCTGTTCCTGTCCAGGTGTCTTTGGACCAGTACCACTCAGAGGACGAGATATATCAGCTATCTCTACAGAGGGAGCCTCGCAGTACTAAACTACCAGTGAGTCACTCCACCGACATAACAACTGCTCAGATAGCAAATCAGTGGCCACCATGAGGTAGAAACCACCAATTACGACCACTCATGACACAATTTGACAGATTAATTTTCCCATGTTGCCTGCATAATCCATTTACGTAGACTTGCAGCTGGGAGCCTGAACCATTACTCTATAATTATTCTGTTCAACCAATGGACAGCAGTCATTTATCCATATCTGCTGGTGCCTTATATTCACTTGCTAAGTGAATACGCCATTGATTTCTGGCCTCTTAGACTTCCAGCTCAAAGTCACAGTCTCCTCTAATAGAACAGTGGGCATCTTCAGTCAAACCTAAAGCGGATCCAGCCATCATCAACAAACACATTGAAAAAATGGTGGAGGTATGTGACCCACACTACTTTCAATTCATTTATCTTTTTTTCTGAATAATTATTTGGTTTTCAAATAAACGAATTGTTGCAAATAGTATACTTTAGGGATGAATGAATGAATGAATGAATGAATGAATGAATGATGCATTTATATAGCGCTTTACTGTTATGTAGGGATAATATGTAAGGGATCAAATGAAGTAAGCCGGTCATTATTATAATAAATACAACAATGAGCTGGTTGCCTGACAACAGTCAGATATACAGTTTCCATGTTCCAGACAGACTGTCAGTTTGTGTTTTAGTGGTGGGGATTTTTCAGTGACTCTTTCTGTTGGTTTCATTGTTACGCCAGTAGGTGGCAACAAGTGACTTTCTTTATGAGTTAGTTAATGAATCATTCACTCATTTGATGCTTTCAAATGCACTTATTCATTCAGGAGTTAAACAATTGACTGACCTTATGAGTGAGACATTGAATCATTCGATCAACTGATTCGTTTGAAAAAACTAATTGAATCAGGAATGAAACAAGTGACTGTCCTTATGAGTGAGTCATTAAATCTTACACTCAACCTATTTGTTCATTTTTTTTTTTTAAATGAAGCAGTGTTTTTGAACAAATCGATTGAGACATTGAATCATTCAGTCAACTGATTTGTTTGAAAAAACTCATTGAATCAGGAATGAAACAAGTGACTGTCCTTATGAGTGAGTCATTAAATCATTCACTTAACCTATTTGTTCATTTTTTTTAAATGAAGCAGTGTTTTTGAACAAATCGATTGAGTCATTGAATCATTCCGTCAACTGATTCGTTTGAAAAAAAACGAATTGAATCAGGAATGAAACAAGTGACTGTCCTTATGAGTGAGCCATTAAATCTTTCATACAACCTATTTGTTCAAAAACACTGATTCATTAAAAAAACAAAACAAGTGATTGACCTTATGAGTGAGACATTGAATCATTCACTCAGTCAATTTGTTCAAAAACACTGCTTCATTAAAAAAAAAAATGAAACAAGTGACTCACATTATGAGTGAGGCATTGAATCATTCACTCAGCCAATCCATTCAAAACCTGATTCATTTAGAATGTAAACAAGTGACCTACCTTATGAGCAAGTCATTTAATCTTTCACTCAACCAATTTCTTCAAAAACAAAAAAGGAACGTAACTTGGACACATGAAACCACTTGATTCTGCTTTTTGTTTGCAAATATTTTCATTACTGGAGCAAGCAAAAATAATTTGCCAATATGTGTCAAAAATGTAAGTTACGCAACAACTTCTTGTTTATGCTCTGGCTAATTAAAAAGAAATATCATATTCACAATCGTGCCATTGAGCTGAACAACAAACAATAATCAACACTGTGATATTGCAGAAGTTTGACAAGTGTTCCAGAGAGGCGTGTAATAAATTAACTTGTGGTGAAAGAGAACTAATTGTACGATGTCTTACTTTCAGTCAGTGTTCCAAAATTTTGACACCGATGGTGATGGCTACATTTCCCAAGGAGAGTTTGAGATCATCAGGAGGAATTTCCCTTACCTTGGCAAGTTTGATGAACTGGACCAAAACCAGTGGGTTTATCAAGACATCTGTCCAGTGTATCTGGAGTAATTATTTCCCCTCATTTGTCAAAGTCTACAGTACAGTAAAGGTCCCACCTTTCTCTTTCTCATTTTCACTCCCAGGGATTGTAAAATTAGCCGAGAGGAGATGATTGAGTACTTCACAAAGGCGAGCTCCTTACAGAACTGTAAGATGGGTTTTGTTCACACGTTTACTGAGGCGAGCAGCGTCAAACCTTCATTTTGTCGGCACTGCTCTCGTTTGGTGAGTGCATGATTTATTTGGGCCTCAAACTCTTTATCTTCATCTCCAACGTGATGACAGCCCACACATGAGATGAAATAAGATCTTTTCAGCATCATGAGAAACAGACATCCAGATCTGTATTTATTTCAAAAAGCACAGATGCACATAATGCCTATTTTATTATCACTCGTAAGCCAGATTGTATTTATGGCTTGCATTCGTTCATATTTGTCTCTGCTGTCAGACGTTTATGGTGCTTGTGCTGTTTTCAGTGCGAGTGCAGCAGGGTTGTGTTTAAGGGTGTGTCTGTGGAAAAGATGTTGTTATGTTCACAGTTGGTAGTTGGGTGGAGATAGTAACCACTTCCTATTTTCTAATTTCCTGTCAAGGTCCACCCCAGCAGAGAACCTGTTTTCCTTTTTCTTCAGTGTTTTTGTTTTTGAACCAGCATTTTTGACAAGCCTTTTAAATTACACTTAGGCTGTTTTTTTTTTTTCATTCATTTTTTTTTTACATGTAAAGAAATAAGTAGTATTTTTGAAAAATGTTGAATATTATGTTTACTCGCATGAAATATAGATATGACATTTAAGCAATTAAACAAGAAATAAAGAAATAACTTCAATTTTGTAGAAAACTAAATTGAATGTACTACATAAACTCGAAGGTTTGGGGCCAATACGTTTTATTTATTCATTTTCTTTATTAGTTAATGCTTTATTTTTTTATTTAATATTTCAATACTTAAATTAAAACTTAAATTAAATTAATACTTAAATTAAAGGATGCATTAAATTGATCAAAAGATATATATATATATATATATATATATATATTCTGACTTATTTATTTTATGTTAATTCTTACAGATATGGGGATTTTACAAACAGCGATACAAATGCAAAGGTATGAAACCAAATGTAGAACCTAACTCTTATCTTTTTCGTGTGTAAATTTGTGTTTTATCACAAATTTTTGTTCTGTGTTTTTTCAGTGTGTGGGGTGAGCTGTCATAAAGACTGCTGCAGTCGTTTGGCCATCGAGTGCCGACGGCGGGCACAGAGCATCAGTTGTCACAATGACGTTTCCTTTAAGGCCACACGCTCTTTCAGCTTTCCGCCGCCCTTCAGCACAGAGTCGATAGCAGAGCCCCCGGGTAAATGCACATACACAAGTGTACTTGAACACAAGACACACACACACACACACGATACACTATATAATCCAACACCTAAAGTCTACAGATGTGGGGTACAAAACAGAAATATGGAATTCAAAATCGAATTTCAATTTAAATAAAATTAAAATGTTAATATTTTTAAATATTTTTCCAATGACTACTTTGGACCACTTTTTTTTTTTAAAGGATGCATTAAATTGATCAAAAGTGACAGTAAAGACATTTCTAAAGTTACAGAAGATTTAAAATTCTATTCATCAAGGAATCCTTGTTTAAAGATATAATAACAATATATTTATTAGACTTTTTTTTTTTTTGAATAACAATGAACATGTCTAACCTTCCGTACATCTGATTATCAATTAAAAAAAAAAATCATACAGTTCCAATTCAAATGTTAACTCAAGTAATGAGCTAAACTAAAGCACCCAAAATCCATTTGAAAAATGTTCCATGTTTTTCTTATATATTCTGTCATATTATTTATTTCTGAATATATATATATATATATATATATATATATATATATTCTGACTTATTTATTTTATGTTAATTCTTACAGATATGGGGATTTTACAAACAGCGATACAAATGCAAAGGTATGAAACCAAATGTAGAACCTAACTCTTATCTTTTTCGTGTGTAAATTTGTGTTTTATCACAAATTTTTGTTCTGTGTTTTTTCAGTGTGTGGGGTGAGCTGTCATAAAGACTGCTGCAGTCGTTTGGCCATCGAGTGCCGACGGCGGGCACAGAGCATCAGTTGTCACAATGACGTTTCCTTTAAGGCCACACGCTCTTTCAGCTTTCCGCCGCCCTTCAGCACAGAGTCGATAGCAGAGTCCCCGGGTAAATGCACATACACAAGTGTACTTGAACACAAGACACACACACACACACACGATACACTATATAATCCAACACCTAAAGTCTACAGATGTGGGGTGTGTTTTCTTTCTGAATAAAAGTACAAGTACAAAAATTTAAATTAATAAGATAAATTAATAATTTTTATAAAACTATTTTTCTAAAAATTTTTTTTTTTTTCTTACATATTATTTTATTTTATATTTTTATTTTAAGTTTATTAAATTATTCTTATTTAATTTTACAAATAATATTACAATTTATATTTTCATCATGACATTTTTAGCGTATGCATATTTTTTCACTTTATAATAAGGTAAATAATTGTATCCATTTGATAAATTTTTAATAATTTTATTTAATTAGAAAATGCAAATTATGCAAATGACAGCTATATTGCACTATTAGGTAATATTCTACAAAAATATTCAAAGTATTTTATAAATAAAATAAAAATAAAATCAATTAGAATAATCAAAACTATTTTACTGTAAATGTACATGCATTGTCGTGGCCTTACAAATAAAATAAAATGTAAATAATAATAATAAAATATTGCAAAAATATGCTTTGTCAAGTTGAATGTAATTGTTATTGAAAAAAATATATTTAAGTTAGAAAAAATGTTTATCATTTTTACTAGTGGTCTTTGGACCACATTGTACCTACTGCAGTAGAATCCCTATCCTGTCTAGTACTTAGTACTATGTATCTTTTGAAGAGTAAAGAATGATAATAACTCGCAGTGACTTGAGTGACTCTTTCCCAGCCTTTCATTCTCTCTCTGTACCTCCACAGTCATCACAGACGGCTCTCAGGAGAAACCGGATGAGGTTTTTGATGTCCACCTTTGATGGGGTTCGAAAAGTAGATGTATATTGCCAACACATTCACCTCGTGGTTGAGAGCTTTTTCATTAAGTCCTTCTGATGAACAGAAATCCATCACCTGGCATTAGATACGTTCCTCTCCTCTCTATTTCCATAGGAACATCCTGGAGCAAATCCACAAGCAAGCGCAGCAGCAGTGACAGAGCTGCACTGTTCTCCAGAGCAGAGTGCGTGTGTGTGTGTGTGTTTGTTCATGCGTTTGTTGTCCAAGGTGATCCATTCTCTTGAACTCTCTATACTGTGATCTCTCATGGGTTTTTGGTCTGAAAATAGCACATGGATTTCAAACAAATAAGAAAAAAGCACCAGTTAAGTTGCAACAAATATTTGAGGAGGTTATATATATATTTACTATTTTAGTTTTTCGTGACCATTTTTCATCCTCTTAGTAGAAGTAGAATTAAATGGTGTTTTGGATGAAATGGGACTAAAACAACCCATTACAATGTATAATCTGCCACCTATGCATACATGAAAAAAAAATATATATATATACATTTTTACATTGTTTATTTTATGACCATGATCAATGTGCAATGGTGCAATTTTTGTTAGAATTTACAATGATATTTTAATTGGGATTCCTGTAACTGCATGATTTCATTGATCTTTTTCATTCTCATATGTATTATGAATAGACGAGAAGGTCGAATGAATGACATGTTGCAGACACTGTATTGTGCCACGGCCATCTCTCATCACAGGCTTCAATTTCACACCAACAGAAGGCGCTGTTGTCCTAAACTGAGAAAGCGATTTGAGAAGTTCTTGTGCTGCCTCATTTGCTTTCTGATTTTATGTTTATATTCTTATTCTTATTATGCAGATGAATCATTTGTTTTCTTTGATGCACATTTGCATGTTTTTTGCTGCCGAAATGGATACACGTATAATAAATAGAACATTTAATCAAATGTATATATTCAGCTGCCTGCTTGTCATTATTTTTGGAGGCAGAGAGTATTATGACTGTATGTGACAAACTGTGAGGGATGTTGCAGAGGAAACGGCCTCATTGACATATTAGCTGTCCAGACAAACAGCTGTATGCAGAACACATGAGTGTAAAGAAAAGATTAAAAGTTTCATTTTCCCTGCATTATTTACTGCAAACACTGTGCTGTGTGAATCATGAGCTAATATTGGCCAGGATCAGAGGGTTAATCTAACAGGTTGGCCCTTTAGCTGTAAAGCTGCAATTACGTTCACAGTTAAGTTGTGTTTGCCACTATATCAACATGTATCACTTGGGTGAACCATGTCACTTGGAGAGCAGAAATTGCTATTGTTCATGAACTGTAGCCAGCGGTGTGGGTGGGGCTTAAAACACGGCCATTTAAACTGCATCATGTGCTCAAGACTTCCATTAGCGTCTTATATGAGAAGTGCAGTGGCATGTCAAGAACTTTGAGGGATCATTCTTATTTTCTTTTATAGACCATAAATATATATGTATAATTTATGCCAAAATGGTATACAGTAGGTTGCCACAAATTCACTGAAAAAAATAGGTGATGTTAAAATGTGACCCTAAAGTTTTAGATATTATGGGAGGCATTGTGGTGCCTGTATAGTTCATAGTTCATAAACATAATTGGTCTTAAGAATCAAACTACTAATTTTTTTAACCTTAAAATATACTGATAATTACCATAAGCATGTCAAAAAAACAATACTGAAATAATGAAAAAAATATTAACCAAACTATTTGAAATGTAACATTAAACGTATATGTAACTAAATTTAAATACATTTAAATAAAATATAAACAAAAGTGATGGATTGTGCAGGGAGCATCTTTTTACTGTTCTTTTTAATTAAAAAAAAGTACTTAATTTTTTATAATATATATAAAATGTACTTTTTTGTATTTTTTTACATTATAAAGTTAATTACATTTTCACTCAAAATGTTATGATGATGACAGTTTTTTCTGTAATCATATGTATTTAAAAAATTTACTACACATTTTATAATTATATATATATATATATACACAGTAATTTTAATAAAATAATGTAAGAAAAACATGAAAAAAATTATATATAATTTTAATAAATAAAATAACATGAAAAACATGAAAATTAAATAATAATAATAATAATTTATTTCAATTTTATTTGAAAAGTGCTTTAAATTTTTCTTTACAAATAGCATACTGTCAGACTCTGTTCCGTGTCTGTGTGTTTTCTTCCCCCCAGGTGCTCCATATTATGTTTATGTCCATATTTGGTCTTCCTGTTTCCTGTTCCCATTATGTTCTCTGATTAGTTCCATTTGTTCCAGCTGTGTTTAATTATCTTAATTTGCTCCTGTGTATTTAAAGTGTGTTCTGCCCCTCGTTTCCTGTCCGGTATTGTTGATGTCTACCTCCTCAGCTACGTGTGTTTTCCTGGTTCCCTTGATTTCATTAAAATCTCTTTGTTGATGTACTCCACGTCTCCTCGTTCCTTGCTCCACACTCCAACACAGTAGCAAACGTGACACATACAATATATTTTCTGCTTACAAATAAAATACATAAAAATAATTGTGTTGAAGCCATTGTTATAAAAAAAAAACAGTATTTTAGAGTAAAACTACATGCATTGTCCCTAAATCTACATCTAAATCTAGTTACAAATAAAATACATAAAAATAATTGTGTTGAAGCCATTGTTATAAAAAAAAACAGTATTTTAGAGTAAAACTACATGCATTGTCCCTAAATCTACATCTAAATCTAAATTTTTTCCCACTGTATATGGTAAGGTAACTTACAGTCAATAGGTTTCACTTTTCATACATTCTTTTTCTGTTAAAATTCAGGACATTTTGACCATGTAGCTGACATGTGGACTGTAAATGCAAGCTTTAATGAATGCATCTTATCACTTTGTGAACAAGCAAGATGATACTATAACCCCACACAAGGTCGAATATCAATATATTCTTCTATTTCTGGAGGATTTTCGTAAGCGAGTAGGGAGAGGAAACCGCAGCAGAGGTCAGGGATAGCGTTGGTCTCGTGAGAGCCCCCGAGCGCCACTCACAGTTGCACCTGATACAGAGCAGCTACACTACAGTTTCCCTTGTGAGAGCATCTGCATGGAGCCCCTCACTCTGTGTTATGGTATCAGCATGCTTAAGGGAACTATCTACAGCTTCATTTTAATAATCATCTCTTTAATTACAGATGAGAGAAGAAAGCCAGGCGTTCTGGTCCATTTTACTAATGTTCAATATGAAAGCGCCACTCCACGAGATGCTAAGGTGGCCCCACGGGCCTCAAACACACACTCTTTCTTTATCAGCATATTGGATCAGCACCAGGGGACTGAAATTAACATTCATTAGTGGGATGAAATATACTGGGAAGGGTATATTTACAGGAGTGCAGTATTACTTGTTGTGTGTGTGTGTGTGTGTGTGCGTGCGCGTGCACGTGCACTGCACAACATGCAGTGTGTTTCCCCACCAGTAGGTTTTCCAACACGGTCCCGTCCTTCACCAGCTCCATCCCGCTTTGCCGCAGTCGTCTGCCATCTGATGTCTTCGAGAGCCGCTTATTTACCGAGTCGTCCCACAGTGAATCTTCATAATGACATCAGATTCTGCTGTAAGACCAGCCGTGTCCAGATAACTCTCTCCGTTTGTGTTCATTCAGTCAATGACCTTCATGAACGTAAATGAGTTTATATCTGTGATGGAAATTGCGCTATGATAAAATGAAAGGCCTTGATTGAGGTCAGAGGAGGGAATGAAAATGTAAGAGTCACTGAGATGAAGACGAGCCTGTCAGAAAAGATAGTTGGAGCTTTATGTCATGCTCCATTCTGGGCCAGTCACTTCACTGACATTGAAAAGAAGTCATCATTACTGGCCCAATTGTAATTTGCATTATCCTCATCTGAACCTCTCAGTATACAGACCTTTCTCACGCTTAGGAAAACATAGTTTATGCTAAAATGCTAAGGTTACTGTGAAACCATTAGGTTCCCCTTCAAATAGTGTCAAAGGTCACAATAGTGACCTTTATGGAATGGAGAATGCTGTATAATAAAGACTCTGACCTCTGCATTTGTATCGTGAAAAGACATTCAACAAAAAGAATATGTAAACGTCACAGATGTCGTTTTGGATGAGCATCTAACATGGAGGAAATTTATTTGCATCATCTTGATCACAATAAAACAAGTTTTAAGAATGCAAACTACAATGAAGTTGCATGATTTACAGTGCTGTGGAAAACTGGAGTCAATCTTGTGTAACATAAGATGTGTCACATGATCCTTCAGAAATCATTCTAATAGGCTGATTTGGTGCCCAGGAAACATGTCTTAATTTCAAAGTTAAAAACTGTTGTGCTGCAAAAAATTTAGAAAAATTATGATTTAAATTTTTTCAGGATTTTTAATGAAATTCAATTAGACAGCATTAATTTAAAATGTTGTAATAATGTACTGCCATGTTTGATCAATTGTACGCTTCCTTGCTGTAAAAAAAAATTAGTATTAATTTCCTTTCCAGATTTTTCAAACAGTACTGTAAAAAATTGCTGTAAAAATACATGGAATTTTCTACAGTAATGTACCGTTCTGTGAAAATACAGTTAAATACTGTAAATTATGATAATAAAATGTTAACAGCAAGCTACAGTTCAGTCTTACGGTATAATACAGTATTTTTTTAGTCAGACGTGTGACGTTGTTGCTTGAGCCCGCTCATAACTCATCTGAGCAAAACCACGACGCATCAACTCCCATCAACAGTCAAGAGGTGTGCACTCATGCAGGTTTAAAATTACTGATATACAATATTTTATTAACGAGAGAAAGAAGAATAAGATGCAGAATTAAAGACGATGATTTTTGCCCTGCCTGTGAGCTGCTAGCATCAAATGGATGGCGCATTCACTGGATTGCTTTTCTACTCGCCAACTTAGGTAAATGCAAGTATAATTAGTCCAATGATAATTTTTGTCAAAGTCAGTGTTAGCCTGTGATATTATTTACACACTGTTATATCTTTTTATTGAATGAAGTTACCAATAACAATTAAAAAAATTTTTTATTTTCATATCCAGTGAACGGTAAACAAATTAGCAAACTAAGTTAGCTAGCTTGTTCATTCGAGTTTAACTTTTGTTATTTTGCAATCTAATCAAATGTCCGTGGTATATGTGATATGAACGTAAATGAGTTTATATCTGTGATGGAAATTGCGCTATGATAAAATGAAAGGCCTTGATTGAGGTCAGAGGAGGGAATGAAAATGTAAGAGTCACTGAGATGAAGACGAGCCTGTCAGAAAAGATAGTTGGAGCTTTATGTCATGCTCCATTCTGGGCCAGTCACTTCACTGACATTGAAAAGAAGTCATCATTACTGGCCCAATTGTAATTTGCATTATCCTCATCTGAACCTCTCAGTATACAGACCTTTCTCACGCTTAGGAAAACATAGTTTATGCTAAAATGCTAAGGTTACTGTGAAACCATTAGGTTCCCCTTCAAATAGTGTCAAAGGTCACAATAGTGACCTTTATGGAATGGAGAATGCTGTATAATAAAGACTCTGACCTCTGCATTTGTATCGTGAAAAGACATTCAACAAAAAGAATATGTAAACGTCACAGATTGACGTTTTGGATGAGCATCTAACATGGAGGAAATTTATTTGCATCATCTTGATCACAATAAAACAAGTTTTAAGAATGCAAACTACAATGAAGTTGCATGATTTACAGTGCTGTGGAAAACTGGAGTCAATCTTGTGTAACATAAGATGTGTCACATGATCCTTCAGAAATCATTCTAATAGGCTGATTTGGTGCCCAGGAAACATGTCTTAATTTCAAAGTTAAAAACTGTTGTGCTGCAAAAAATTTAGAAAAATTATGATTTAAATTTTTTCAGGATTTTTAAT